CGACGGGTTATGTACCGTAACCAGTGCAGAGAAAAGCGGTCTACCCTAGTTTGTTTGAATGCGCTGGCTATACTTTTTTGATGGCAAAAATTTTTTGGTCTTCTCTAGTCAAAAGATATTTGGTAAATTTAATCATGGATAAAACTCAACTGATTGTCCTTCTCAGTTTTCTCATGAGCTCTAGGAGAATTAGGCACATACCAAATAAAGCTAGTAACAACCTTTTAAGTCTAATTATTAGGTACTTGATGTCCAATTATTGATTGACTGCCAAAAAAGTTGACATAGTTAATGTTCATCTTTCGAACAATTCTGAAGATAACGAGGAGGTTATACACGTTAAACAGGTTTGACATGATTATATTTACAAGTTAATACGAATTTATGATTGATCATCACCTGATTCCAATTCTGACATGTAACAAATAGTATAAAACATGAAATATCATTCCGTATATTGCTGAATCAACTAATTTAACTGTGTGCTAGAAGTTTCTAAGGCCATAATACACTAGATGACTTGACGATTAATAATCTTAACATTTTCTTAGACTTTCTTGCCTCAAATTCCATCCCCATTTTCAAAGTCATTAGAGCTTGTAAATAAGTTAAGTGCTCACCTGTCATCATAGCTACAGTCGTTTGCCTGAGTGAATACTGTGTGATGAATTGCTTCATATCAGCGATACATGCCTCTTCGCCTTGTTCCATAAACTCGTCCAGCTCTTCGGGTCTGTCCAGTGTAGTAATCTCCTTCATCGGAGTCCTCAAACTCCGAATCGGTCTGCCACCAGCGTTGTTTTCATATCTGGGTAAGGAGGCTTGAGCTGTTGTAGTGGAAGGCACTGCAGCAGCTTCAGAAACATTTACGCCAGCATCCTGCGCCTGTGATGTCGTCGGTTCCGATGCTGCCGATGCTGCGGGTACGGTTTGAACGCTAAGTCGTTCTGGTGATGTGCTTGCCTGTGGCGGTGAAGCGGAAATCGTCACAGGTACAGGCGGTTGTGCTTGTAGGGCCTGTAGCAGCATAGGATTTGTGGTTTCTGCTTGTTGTGTCTGCTGTTGCGCTTCCAGCGAAGTCATCAAACTCGATAAGATTGACGACTGCGCCGGCGGTACATCGAGTGAATTGTCAACCTGCTCGAGTTGTCGGAATGCCTGAAATATGCCCACATACACATGCACACAATAATATGTATACGTTGGAAACTTTTTCACCATGTTTACACTAAGCCGAGCAGCGGCTCTATTTAGCGTAGCAAATGTTGCGTCCTTGTTTTTTTTCTTCGTTAAGATATTTAGCGCTCGGTTTGTGTTGACATAGTGGAGAGCCGTTTTAAGAGCACAGAGCACATGCAAGATTCGTGCACTCTACTGAGCACACCGCATTTATTTGGCGCGGTTAAGGATATCACCAGGTAGCAGAAAGTACGATGAATACGGTACGCAAAGATCCGCAGCAAAAAAACGAGAGGGTGCGCTGTGTTTATGTGAGCCTAGGCGATTCTTGAAAATGACGTCAGACATTTTTCTTGCGTTACATGGGTTCCATACCAAACTAAAAAGGAGTCGTTTGTTTTTAGCGATTTCATTTTGGAAAGTAAGATTAAAAAAAGGCAATTTTGATCTTGGCAAAACGATTACTGTTCAAATTTAGTCTGAAAATTGTGTAAGGAAACAGCGACAAA